GGAACAGATTCTTTTAGCTCTGCCCCTTCTCCCTCCTCTCCACCCCTTTTCTTTATGTCACCCGGCCGGCCGGGGCGCGCACTCCGTTTCTCCCTGCTCTGGGCAGGTTCTGAGCGGAGCGGACGATGGGAAGTAGGGGGAGGGGGGCTCCCCTCCAGGCGGGGAGCGGGGAGTCAGCAGCCTGGGCGCCTGGAACGGGGTGTAACTGTTCTTCGGGTTCGGCGCCTGACTCCTGGACCGGACCGGGAGCTCGCTCGTTCGTTCTTGCATGCATTCATTCGTTTATTCATTCATTCATTCAGTTTACTCTTCTCAGTCATTCATTTATCTATTTAACAAATATTTACAGCGGACCCACTGTGTGCTAAGCAGGTATTGCACAAGTGCCCAGCTCCGTTGTCTTTTTATCTTCCAGATTAGGGAATTCCCATTGCCAAGTAAGTTCCTGGCGTCTAAACTTTTGGTAAATGGCCAAAGACTACAGGGTGTGCATTCCTCTGTCATTGTTAGGATTGAGGAGAAAGTTCTTTATTAAGTTCCATTAACCCATGTATGGTGCTAGGAGTTTTGACATATTTTATCTCATGTAACTCGTAAGTGGAAAAGCCGACAGAAATCAAGTAACTTGTCCAAGGTTACACAAAGGTAGTAGTGTCTGTTAATTAAACAACGTACCAGCCACGGTGGTAACTTCACATACACAGTTCTCTAATCCTCATCACAAACTGGGTGATGATACCTCTGCTTTAGAAATGTGTAGAAGGTATGCTCAGAAGGGCCAATTTTCCCAGGATCACACAGCCAGTAAAGTTGAAACATGGAACTAGAATTTAGAGGTGTCTGCCTCTGTAGCCTGTGCTTTTTCCAGTTATAGGCTGGAATGGTATGCTCCCAGATGATTGTGTAGTTGTTCATTTGTCAGAAGTAGGAAAGTGTGGTGGTGAAATAGGGCTGTGAGATATTCTTATTGTTGGTTTTACTTCTTAGCCTGTGGATCTCCAGGTTGAGTGGCCTTTTGAATGTACTTGACGACTTGATTTTTTGTTTTGGTAGAGAAGACAAGCTCTTTGGGGCTCCCAAAAAGAAGCAGCAATGCCTGTTGTGTGGCCAACCCTTTTGGATCTCAGCAGGGATGAATGCAAAAGGATTCTTCGAAAATTGGGTATGTTTTTCTTTTTCTGTGTTTTATGCCTCCATGATACTTTTCTCTTTTTGTTTGGATCATGGCTGTTTGCAGGGATGACATATTTCTTGCTACATTAGAAATTCCTTAGAGGTATTGTTCTTGTCTTACTCATTGCTATTTCCCCAGTGCCTACCATAGTGCTTTGTACATAGTATGTGTATGAATCATAATAATCATAGCAACTAAGAATTCTTGAGGAATACTGGGCTATTCTGAGTTCTTTACATTCTAATTTAATCCTCAAACTAAAAAAGTAGGTATTTTTCTTTTTTTGTCCCCATTTTACAGATGATATAACTGAAGCTTAGAACTCAAGATAATGCTGATAGTAAGTCCTGGAGTCAGTATTTCAACCCGGGGAATATGATTCCTGTCTCACTTTAACATACTTTTAACCTTCATGAATGTATATGTGAATTACATATTGTTTCTGAATTGTAAGTTAATGTAAGCTATGCTCTCTTTTCCAAATTATATTTTACAGTACTATCAGTAATAAAATACCCTTTGTGGTTGTAATGAATTGTATAGTAATCCTATATAATAAAAGGGTAATATGCAAACTGACCCTAATGGTGGAATGACTGGGAACAACTAGTTGCTATGACACGCACCGACCACCAGGGAGCAGACGCTTAATGCAGGAGCTGCCCCCTGGTGGTCAGTGCGCTTCCACAGGGGTAGCTCCGCTCAGCCGGAAGCCCACTCATGGCTGGCCAGCGCGGTGGTGGTGGTGGTGGTGGTGGTGGTGGTGGTGGCGGCGGGAGCCTCTCCCACCTCCACAGCAGTGCTAAGGATGTCCACTTGCCGGCTTAGGCCCGCTCCTAAGCCGTTGGTCGGACATCCCCCGAGGGTTCTCGGGCTGCCTGACTGCCAGCTTAGGCCCGATCCCCCGTGGAGCGGGCCTACGCCGGCAGGTAGACATCCCCCGAAGGGTCCCGGACTGTGAGAGGGCGCAGACTGGGCTGAGGGACACCCCCTCCCCCAATTCACAAATTTTCATGCACCGGGCCTCTCGTTTATTATATTTTTCTTTAGCACAGTCTTTCTCAACTAGCATTTAGGGACTTAAGCCCTAATACTAAAGTATCTGTTGTATATAATGAACTAACTTCTTATGCATTTAAAATGGTATTAGTTATGGGGAAATTGAGAAAAAGTAATTCAAATAATTTTCTGTATTCTGTGGTTCAAATGAGGATTCTTGGTTGAGAAATGCTGCTTTAGACTGCAAGGTAGAAGAAGGACCTTGTGGTCTCATTTATCACTGTAGTTTCAGGCTAGCACATAGTAGGTGCTCAATAAATGAAAAATTATTTGAAAAGAACATTAAATGTTTTGGCAGTAGATATGAATTATTTAGATATCTACTAGAGGCCTGGTGCACGAAATTTGTGCACAGGGCGGGGGGGTGGTCCCTCAGCCTGGCCTACACCCTCTCCAATCCGGGACCCCTCAGGGGATGTCCAACTGCCAGTTTAGGCCCGATCCTAAACCAGCAGTCAGATATCCCTCTCATAATCCGGGACCGCTGGCTCCTAACCACTCACCTGCCTGCGGGACTGATCCCCCTAACTGCTCTCCCCTGCCGGCCTGATCGCCCCTAACTGCCTCTGCCTCGCCACCATGGCTTTGTCTGGAAGGATGTCCGGAGGATCATCCGGAAGATGTCCAGTCTAATTAGCATATTACCCTTTTATTAGTATAGATGATCTTGAAGGGGAAAGTGTGGACCTTGAATTCCAACAGGCTTGGGGTCTTGGTTCTGTTACTAATGATCCACATGATCAAGGACAAGTTATTTATTCTCCCTAAATCTGCTAGCACTTTTGTAAAGGAAGGATAACAATATCTGCTACATAAGTTTGTTATGTGGATTAACTGTATATAAAAAGGGCTTGTTACAGGGCTTGACATCTGAGCATACAGTCTTTTAAAGCAACTTTTAGACATTTTTTAAAAATATATTTTATTGATTTTTTACAGAGGAAGGGAGAGGGATAGGGAGTTAGAAACATCGATGAGAGAGAAACATCGACCAGCTGCCTCTTGCACACCCCCCACTGGGGACGTGCCCGCAACCAAGGTACATGCCCTTGACCGGAATCGAACCCGGGACCCTTCAGTCCACAGGCCGATGC